CGCCGCGTCTTACAGGGGGAGGTCGGACCGGACCTCTCCCTCCCGGCCATAGTGGCGGCTATGGTCGGAGAACAGAGTAAATGGAGGGCCTTCACCAGCTTCTGCGGAGCGGTGATGGCCCAAAAAGAGGAGGCCGAGAGAATACGCCGAGAGGAGGTAGATCCCCCTCCTCCCCCATCACCGGCGGATTCCTCGCAATCGGATTGAGTGCGGGACAAGGCAATTCGACGCGACACCCCTAAATAAGGGGGTGTCCGTGGTCGCTAATACCAGCGGCACGAGAAGTACAGGAGGTTCGGCGTCCCGGCGGGACTAACGGGGCGCCGAACAGACTCCCACCAAAAAAAAAAAAAACGGAAAAAATGGCGGGGTGGGGTGGTGTCATACCACGTCACAACATCGATAGAGGATCGGCCGTAAAGCCGCGAGCGTGCATAAGCTCGAGAGAAGGGAGCTTTCCGAGACTCGGCGCAGGAGGCGCCCCGGACGCAACAATAAACAGTTCCCGGGGCGTCTTCATAAGCGCACGGTTGGACACCCGTGAGGTTTTAGTGGGTAGGCTACGGTGAGTGCAGGGTTTAGGGTTTATAGCCCGGCTCCCGTAGAATCCCACACTCACCTCGTCCTCGTCCCGGAAGGCGGGGGGGTCTTCCCCTCCACAACACCCGGAGGGGCCCTGGGCCACAGACCTGACCGACTCTGAGTCGGTCAAGGAACCCAAGGTTGAAGATTTCCTCACGTTAAAAAAAAAAGGTCAGTAATCATTCCCCTCGGAGTGTGCCACCTTGGCGTGGTGAGGGGGCTCCTTGTATCAATAAACCACTGAGGCAGTACCTTCGGTTTATCCGAGGGGAGGGCTCAGTGGGAAGGTACAGGGTCCAAGAGCACACCGTACCCTTCCCCCAACTTGTTGGAAAGAGGGGTACAAAGGGGTCCGGCGCCTCCGCCAGGGAACTTGTTCCCTGGTTCATAAGCGTCGGTAGGGGAAGGCGACCCTGACTTCAAACGCCCGGTCGGCCGGGACCGATAGGGAGGAGTTTCTACTTCTCCCGCCGGTCTAGAGGAAGGGTAACCTCGATAAAAAACCATGGGGGGAGGGCTCCTATGCTCTGTCCCTTGAGGCGTGGCGGTTGCCGGATCTCCGGGCAATGGTCCGGTCCGGTACTCGCCGGTGCCTCCGGAGAGTATGATGGGAGTCTCCTTTCGGGGGGTAGGGCCTCTCTTCCATTGCACGCCGGTGCTCCGGCAGGGAGAGGGTGTTCCTTTAGGGGGGGTCTGGGGCTTGGGGAGGGTTATAGTTCTCTCCGTTCCCGAGGTGGGCAGGGATGCCGTCTCACCAAGGGACGGGAAGACCTTCTCTCATATTCCCATTGCACGCCGGTGTTCCGGCAGGGGGAGAGGGGGTAACTCTCTTTCGGGCTGCCCCGGTACGTGGTGCCGGGGCAACCGGAGGAGTGGCCCGCATCGGTGGCTTGCACACCAGGGTCGTGGACTCACGGTGCCACCGGTGCGGAGGGTCGTCTCGGGCCGCTCAGACTTATTCCAAGATGAGGGCCAGGGCAACCTGGGCGGGAGAGACCCGTTGAGCCACTCAGACATATTCCGAGGTTGGGGTCAACGGGTCTTGCTGTCGGATGACAGGATCGGCGGTAGAAAGATTGCCCGTCGGGGGCGCCTGGTTGGGGGTTCGTGCCTCGGCTTTCCGCGTGTCGCGGGGACTGGGATCGAGATTCTTCGGCCGGTCGCCCGCTGGCTTGTGGGGGGGAAGGGGCGTGGTCGGGCGCCCTTGTGGTGGCGCTGCTCGGCGGGCGGAGCTCTCAGGGGTCGGGGGCGGTCGTCGATGTTTCGGCGGGCGTCCTCGATGCGGGTTTGGCGTACCCGGGGATACCCGAGCTCGGGCAGGCTGGGCTCGTTAGTCTTGGGAGACAACCAGCCTAGGGGAAGGCCACCCCGAAATCAAACCACCTCAAAACATTATGGACATGGACAATATGAAAGAATCAAACTTACCGTCCCAGAATGATCGGACACCCAGGGACCGGCTTGAGGAGAGTACCGTCCCGGCTCCTCTCTTGTCGTCATCAAACTACGGGCTGACTACTGACCACCTAACCTCTGGGTTGCAGGCGAGCCCAGAGGAGGAATTGGCGATCGCTCTGGAAGGCATGGAAGTAGACATGACAGATACTTCCAAGGAGGTGGATACTCCCAAAGAGGTGGATCAAAAACAACCCTCTGGCAAGGTCAAACCGACCGCCAGGGGCCCAAAAAGTGCAAGGGATAGGAGCTTCTCCAACTCCCTTGCACCCAAAGATGGGTCTCAACACCAGAGAAACCCTGATAAATCCGCCGGGGACACGAATGTAACCCCGATCAAGACCAACAAGATGGAGAATGTGCTGAGACTGGTAAATGAGATAGCAAATCATTGGAGGAGACCTGGGATTAACATCCAGGGATATATCGCCGTCCACCTTATCACTGCGTTTGGAGTATCTGGACACAATTGTCATACAAGATGAGGAAGAAGACGATACAGAGATAGGAGCAAACACTGCTCGAGATGCGCAAATGCAAGCCTTAGGGGCTAAAAAGCGCAGCTGGGAGAAACAGGCTCAGAAACAGGAGGAGAAAAAACTCAGGGAGATAATTGATCCCTCGGTACCTCCCACCCTGTCCAAAAGCCGAAAAGAGAAAGAGGAGAAGATGCTGGAGCAGTTAAAATTTGCCCCAACTGAGAATCTCCCAATGGTGATCCTTGAACAAGTTAGAATGCTCGACAAATATACGAAACGAGCGAAAATTCAGGGCACGTACCAAGGCCACTTGAACACTGTAGCCGCTACTATTACGGCGGCAGTGACCAGGATGGCTGGTCGCATGGGACGCTCCAACGACCCAGATAGAGAGGATGAGCTGGATGAAATGAGAAGCAGGTTAACAGCTCTCGAAAAGGAGAATCTTAGGCTCAAAGAAAGAATGGAAAAGGCCCAGAGTGCCGTGGTAACCATGGACGTGAATGTGACTCCAAAAGAAAGCCAGGGTCCACCTATTAAAACCGACAGGACGAGAAAACGGGGAAGAACTAACCGAATTGTGGATGATTCTTCCTTGGATGAAGACAAGAGGAAAAAGAAGGCCTTGGAAGAAGAAGAAATCAGAGCTTCCGAAATCAAAAGGCAGGAAATCCTGGCGGGAATTAACCAAACTGGGGCACCACTCGTGTTCAGACCCCCCTTGAAGGGTCAAGCTCCCGCCATACTGGAGAAAGTTATCCCTCCTAGGGATAATACGCCTGCCAATCCTCTTCCTTCTCTAATAACGGAGACATCAATGGAGAAGAGAATTCTCAATAAACTCTCCAACAAGGTGAAGGATAGTTGAGGCCGATATTGGCAAAAGTGGATCAAGTTCATAAACCGGGCCCATCCAAGGGTAACACGTTACAACCCAAAGGAAAGAAGGCACAAAACGACAGGATGAGGAAAAAGAGAAATGTCAACACAAAAGGTCAAGGGAGGACCTCCATAACTGTGAAGAGCGGGAACAGCAATGGAGCATTGGGTGGGTCAAAGGTTGTCCCAAAAATTAATGCGCAGACGACAACCAGTGCTAAACCCAACGTAAGAGCTACCCAAGGACCCTGCCCCCGGTACCAGTAACCCAGGAAAATAACACCTGGGCAATGGTGGTGAGGGGGGGTAAACAGGGCAGATCGGAGACAAACAAAACAGAACCTGCGACTGGAGGACCAGCCAACAGGAAACCAATAAGGAAGGGGCCTAAGTGCCCCCAGTGGAAAGGCACCGGGCAGTCAGGATACAGCCCGAATGGGAAATAAAAAACGGAGGAAGCCGCCGCAAAATGCGGCGGTTACTCTGACTAGTCTCGGGGGGGAGTATGAGTCTCTGATGAAGAAGGCTAAGAAAGCCATCTCCCTCTCAGAGCTAGGGATAGAGGGGGGCCTCAAAAACAGGAGGGCCCAAACAGGAGCCCTCCTAATTCCTGGCCCCGACGGAGCTGCGAAGGCTGACGCCTTAGCAACAAGGATGGCCGCATTCTTCGAGGGACGGGAGGGGGTCATTGTGTCAGACCCACTAAGACCGGAGAGGGTTTTGGACATTGAGGACTCGGTCACTAGCGAAGAGTTGGCTGAAGCAGTGGCCACAGCAGGGGGCTGTCTACCAGCCCAAGTACAGGTGGGGCCATTTCGTATGGGCTCCAATGGCCTAAAAACTGCCTGGCTCAAATGCCCGCTAGCAGCATCCAACGCTGTAGCGAGAGAGGGCAAACTTAGAGTCGGGTAGTTCAACACGAGGGTGCAGCCTCTTGACGTGCGCCCCCTCTAATGTTTTAAATGTTTGGAAGGCGGCCACGTCAGGGCCAATTGCCCTAATACGGTCGATAGGAGTGGCCGGTGTTATAGGTGTGGCCAGGAGGGACATTGGGCACGTGAGTGTGTAGCGCCGCCAAATTGCCCGGTATGTGCCGACTCTGGTAAACCGGCAAATCATCGGGCAGGCAGCAAGGCGTGCACGTTGGAAAGGAGGAGAACCAAGCCGGCTAGGAGACCCACTACGAAGATTCCCCCTCGAAAGGAATATGATGGGGATAAGATGGAGGTGGAGAGTGAGATGGACTCAGACTCCTCCGTATCACATGCCGGTATAACCGCTAGGATTACCGGCATAGAAAAAGTCAACTTTAAAATACCTAGGGGTAGAGGACTAAAAAAGAGGTCAGCTCCCTACGAGGGAATAGACGGGAAGGACGACGATAAACCCAAGCCACAGAGGAGGAGAAAGGATCGGGGTCAAAAGTCAGTCGAGATGGGGCTCCCCCAGCTGCCTCCGATACCCATGCCGCCTCCACCTCCGGTACAACTGCCAGGGGGGGAACAACAGCTGTACAAAATTGTACCCCTAACCGGGTATATTCCCGGTGCGGCGGGGGATGCGGAGCAAAGGGAGAAGGAGGCTCTTAAAGAGTAAAGCCTAATAATGCCCCAGAGGATCATCCAGGCAAATATAAACCACTGCCGCGCTGCCCAGGACATGTTTCTTCATGCCATGGCAGAGCGCGACGGGGGCCTGGGTGTCATCGCAGAGCCGTATCAGGTGCCGCCGGATCATCCGTGTTGGGCGGTTGACCGGTGTGGCTCTGTGGCATTAACATGGAGAATGACAACTGAACCTGTCGCCTGTGCTCGAATCGAACGGGGCGACGGGTTCGTTGTCGTCAAATGGGGTCACGTTACGGTCGTGGGGGTGTATATCTCCCCGAGCATCGACGTGCCCCAATACAGAGTAGTTTTGGGCAATCTATGGGATTGCCTAACTAAAATCCTGCCCAATCCTGTTGTCGTGGCCGGGAACTTCAACGCTAAATTAGCGTTGTGGAGTCGGATGACCCCCTAGTCACGGATACCAAAGGCAGGCACTTAGAGAGGTGGGCGGCGGATCTGGGACTGTGCACCCTCAACACTGGGACAGTCCAGACCTGCGTGCGGCATCGAGGGGGTTCCATTGTGGATATCACATGGGCTAACCCCCCGGCCGCGCGCCGCATTACGGGATGGAGGGTGGTCGAAGAAGAGACACTCTCGGATCATTTATATATTGAGATGGATATATCGACTACCCTTCCAGAGGTGAAAACCTGCCGCCGGGAGACGGAAATCCGTTTTCCCAGATGGGCCCTTAGAAGACTGGACAAGGATATGTTTAGGGCCTCGGTCCAGGTCTCCTTCTGGGCTGAGGACGTACTCACGATATCGGAGGACGTGGACGAGGCAGCAGCTAGAATCGGGGACATCATAAGAACTGCATGTGATGCGGGGATGCCTTGATCGAAGCCTCGTCCTAGAAAGGCTGCGTACTAGTGGTCGGGGGAGATTGCCAAATTAAGGCACTCCTCCGTCCACGCAAGGCGCAAATGGCTGCGGGCCAGACGAAGCCAGCAGCCAAGGAGACTAGAGGAGGCCAGAGAGGGTTACCGCTCCGCCAGGCGGGCCCTCTCCAAGGCCATCAAAATGGCCAAGGACCGCTCTTGGGAAGAGTTGTTGCAGGCCCTGGACGAGGATCCGTGGGGGCGCCCATATCAGATGGTACTGAATAAGCTCAGGCCATGGGCGCCCCCGGTTACGGAGACCCTTGACCCTGGGTTCCTGGAGGAAGTAGTGGCGCCCTCTTTCCGGACGACCCGGAGAAAAGGGTGGCCGGCGGTCCCGCCCCACCGATCGTGGAGTGGGACGAGGAACTCAGGGTCACTATGGAAGAAATGGCGAAAGCAGCAAAACGCTTCAAGAAGGGAAAAGCACCAGGGCCTGACGGTGTACCGAGTAAGGCATGGTCCTTGGCCACGGGGGAACTGGCCGAGCATTTGAGGAAATTGTTCACCAAATGTCTCAAGGAATGTCGGTTCTCCCAAGCATGGAAAGTTGCTAAATTGGTCCTCCCAAAACCAAGGAAGCCCGCCGACTCACCCTCGGCGTATAGACCAATCTGTCTGCTGGACGAGTTCGGCAAAATGTTTGAAAGAATAATCGCCGACCAAATCGTCCAGCACCTGTCCCGGAATGGTCCGGACTTATCTCCGGACCAATTCGGCTTTCGAGAGGGCCGTTCAACGGTGGACGCGTTAGAGCGTATTAAAGCTCTCTCGAGGGCCGTGGCGGAGGCGGGCAGGTGTTGCTCGGTGTGTCGTTTGATGTAGCAAACGCATTCAACACCCTGCCTTGGCCGGTTATTAGGGGGCGCTAACATATCATGGTGTCTTTCCCTATTTAATCGCCATTATATTTGACTATCTCCGGGACAGGAGATTGGTCTATACAGACCGAGACGCCATAACAAGGGTGAAGCTGGTCGTGCGAGGGGTTCCACAGGGGTCAGTTCTTGGCCCCCTTCTGTGAAACCTCGGCTTCGATGCGGTCCTGCGCGCGGCCCTGCCCCCGGGGTGTTGGTTAAGTGCGTTCGCTGACGACACCTTTCTGGGGGTGGAGGCCGACGATTGGGAGGAGGCCCGATGTTTGGCCAACGTTGCAGTGGCGGCAGTGGTGGCAGCAATGCGAAGAGTGGGCCTCAGGGTGGCTCCCCATAAGACACAGGCTGTCTTTTTCTACGACAAGTCTGTGGGGAGGCCGCCTGGGGTCCGCATAAAAGTAGAGGGAGTCCGAGTCCCCGTAGAGGCGGAGATGAAGCTCCTAGGCCTCTGGTTGGATAGCACGTGGACCTTTGGCGAGCACTTCGCCCGCCTGGCTCCCAGGGTTAAGGGTGTTGCGAACAATCTCGGCAGACTTATGCCCAACCTGGGAGGGGCGAGCGGACATGCTCGCCGACTTTACGCCATGACCGTGCACGCCGTGGCACTCTACGGCGCCCCGGTCTGGGTATCAGCGGCAACATCTTCAACAGCCTCGGTCTGGGAAGAATTTGATGCCTCAATAAAGCATTGTCAAAGGATGCATCCCACTAGTACAGCAATTGTGGAAATAGACAAATATTTAGCTGAACTGCACATTATTAGGACAAGTGACCCTCTGATTTGGTAGGAAGCAAGAAAAATGTTGTATCCAAATTTATACAAAATAATGCTCAAAAGGCTCTGCATCCCTGCAACTTCGGTCCCGTGTGAAAGAATATTTTCTAAAGCAGGGAATATTTGTAATGAAAAACAAAGCAGATATATTGACGACAAAAAAATAAGCCAAATTTTAATCGTACATGACGTAATAACTGTTACAAGATGAAATATTGAACGTTAACATCCTTTCTGTTAACATCGATATACCAATTATCATATATATCGTAATGCCGTTCAATTTGTCTTTGATTTCACTAATATAATATTTCGTTTTCAATGTCTTCGCAATTTTATGCATAATAATTCTTTTCTATTCGTGAGGCCGAGTGTGAGAAACACAGTTGTGTGATTCCGCTTATCAACCTATAAAATATAAAATTTATATTGCATATAATTTTATTATTTAAATCAAAATAATCCATAGGATTTAAATTTAATCGTAATAATTACATTTCTGTGATTTGTAATAATCATTACAATTATTTTACGAAACGCTAAGTAATTTGTCTATGATTCATTGCCATTAATTCACTGCTCTATTTTATCTTTTCATTACTGTGATATTTTTTAAACATTTTTGTCGGTTTTAAATGATATACGGGTAATGGGTAATCATGGAAGTTTTGTTGCAATATCGCCGTAACTTTAAAGTTCAACAGAACGCACGATTTTATATTGAAAATTGATCCAAGATTATTTGATTTTCTCAAATATATCACTCTTAAGATTTTCGTTAAGGAAAATTTGATTTCGACTTCTTGTCAACAAATACATTCCTTTTCTGGTATCCACCAACAATGTTGATCTACCTATATAACCGGTAGTTATCCCCAGGGTATAACCGACGCGAGAAAGAAATCACCGGAGACGACGATAGATAACGAAACGTCAGAAGCAAAAGAAAAGCGAGTAGAGAAAAAAAGATGCAATCATGGGATGGCGAGAAAATTCATATCTATCATCTAACATATGTAACGTTACATCGTTTACAAATGAAAGCGGCAAGAAAAGTTGCAGAAAAGTGCATACTAGCAGGTAGAGTAGACTGCTCCCAAGGGAACAAAAACGGCAGCTATGGCCAAATGCTGCGCCAAATGTTGCGCAAAAAGTTTTTAAAAATGAGATAAATAATGGAAAAGTTTTTTTTTTTTAAATAAAATAAACGATCTAATTAACGTTACCATAAGAATCGAATCCGTGATTAACTTCGTGACCCATGATTATTCCAATCATAGCATAATTAATAACTCTGCAATAAAGAGTAATTAGACAAAATCTTATTAGAAATTCGTAGAAATCATGTAAACTTGTTTGTACTTATTGTTACTAGTCGTGTTAATAAGTTCAATCAAAATTGTTTACTTACTGTGGTCGACCATAAGCAAATAATAGGCTCTGGAAATTCGCTACCGAGAGGGTTATAATCGAAAAAGAAATTAACGTCAATGACATGAACAATTGTAAAATAGATCGTGTAGATTTAATTCCACGCGGGACAGCCCGGGAACAATTCGTCGGAGCGACATTTGATCGCCGGAGTAAACCATAAAGATATAAGAATAGAGTGCGCGAGCGAGCTGAAAAAGCGATATAGGAATAGAAAGAGAAAGCTGCGCAGAATAAAAAGAGAAAGCTGCGCATGGGCCCCTTCTGTCTTTGTTTCGCATGCACGCGTAGACAAACACAGAAAGGGCCTATATGCAGCGTTCTTTTTCTATTTCTATATCGCAGCCTCTTACGTGCTAGCATATGACTCGCGCACTCTATTCTTATATCTCTATGGAGTAAACAGAAGCGCGATCGATCCCCACGTTTGTGCACCGTGCATACACACGTATGTGTATATGTGCGCGTATTTGATACGTCCGCCTTTTTACAAGCGGAGAACGATTTTTCGGCAAACAATGACGTCACCGTAGATATACGAGAGAGAGAGAAAGAGAGAGAGAGAGATTGATTGATTGATTGATTAGTTTAATATGCCCGAACATCAGCTATAGGGCAAAAATACAGAAAAACAAAAAACATAGAATGCAACATAATGTTAGAAGCAGCAGCCGGTAGATAATAGAAAGAAAAGCTGGCGATCATATTGCATTCTACTATATAACTATGTAACTTAAACATAACTAAATGCTAACTATGTACATCTAAAAACTAAATAGAAACGCATAGACAAAAGCTTAATGCTAACTTGTGTACAACTTAAAACTAGATGAGAGTACGCAATACATTACAGGATAATGAATTGTGCAACGCAACAAACTAGAATAATTTGACGAGATAGTACGAACATTGCACCAAGCGAATCATACAGAGGGCTAAAAGTATCAGACAAATTCAGATGCAAGTAAAAACGAACGGAGCAGGTTCTTGAAGAATGCAAGAGACGATGCTGAAGTAATGTTATGGGGAAGAGTATGCCAAAACCGTATTGCTGACAGGCGAAAGGAGTGCATGTACGTCGTGGTTCTGCAAGACGGGATGTGAAACACCTGCGATGAAACTGCCAGGCGCTCGGATCGCCTTAGCGATGGATCAGTAAGCACGAAGAGAGAGAGAGAGAGAGAGAGAGAGAGAGAGAGAGAGAGAGAGATTTATTAGCTGCAGTAGCTACATATACATAGTATCACAATAGTTTCTTACATTGCAACTTATTACAATACTGTTTCTTAAAATGCTAACTATACACTCCGCTCCCTCCCCATAATATGTTTCACCAATGCTCTTTTAAATCCCTTCAAGGTATGCTCATCTTTCACCTCATTCGGCAACTTATTGTACATTTTAAATCCATCGTGCAACAACATTTTTTGTTCCTCTCTAGTCCTAC